TTTTTTCTTTATGGCATAGTGTAAAGATGACATACAGTTAATTAATCCAACAATACAAGATTCTCATTTAAACAGAGAATACACTCACGAGACTTAAAGAGCCTAAATTTAGTCAAAAACATCATTCGTTCATTTTAAACCAGTTGCATCAGTCCCAGATTATTCCCTATACTTTCTGACACCATTCTCCTGACCTATTATTCATCATGATGCGTTTAGAAGCATCTTTTCTCAACTGTGAGAGACCAGCACGAGCCCGAGTGTGATGGTACAACTCGCTCGAGAGTCTGAGCCATTTTTTTTCTTGCAGAATTTCTGACGCATGTGCAGACAGACAGTAAGACTATGTAAAAATAGCTCTCAGTGTTGGTTATGATTATTTTGTGGCAATTTTGTTTCATAAATGATAAAACATCAAAATTCTAACCCTGTAAATTCACAACAAATTTTATACGCCAAAAAGTTGAAATCATGGCTAAGGTTAAGGTATTTTTATATACCCCAGGAGGGAAATGTGTCCTCTGCATTTGACCCATCCTGCAATACCACCTGGCCCTCAGTCAGGAGCAGTGGTCGCCATGGCTACAGCGTCCAGGGACCCGTCTCCAGATGTTGATGCTCGGCTTGGTCAGGACCAGAGCTGGAAGATTTGACCTATTGTACATGTTTTAGTGGCATACAATCTATACACAACTAGGAGTGTGACGATATCGATTTTTCGATATATCGCGATACTTTCTCCCGCGATCGATTATCGATACGTATTTGCCAAATATCGATTTTTTTATCTCCATTCCATTTCCATTTTGATTTTAATAAGGGAAACTTGAGCCAGGAATTACCCAAATACAGACAGTTTATCAAATGCCCGACCAGAGAGGAGAACACTCTGGATCACTGTTACACCACCGTGCGCGGAGCTTTTCGCGCTGTTCCCAAGCCAGCCCTCGGCTTCTCAGATCACTCCATGATACATCTGGTTCCTGCTTACAGACAGAGACTAAAGCTCTCGAAACCTGCAGTGAGGAGCTCCAAAGTGTGGTCTGATGAAGCTGTGGAAGAGCTGCGCGCATGCATGGAATCTACAGACTGGGACCTTTTCAGAGCTGCCACAGACAGCTTGGATGAATATACGGACACTGTGACGTCATACATCCACTTCTGTGAGGATAGCATCATTCCAACAAGGACCAGGGTCATCTATAACAACGACAAACCCTGGTTCACTGCTAAACTCCGGCAGCTCAGGAAAGCAAAGGAGTCTGCTTTCAGGGAGGGGGACCGCAGCGGCTACAAAGCAGCTAAATATCAGTTCAGGAAAGAACTGAAAGCAGCCAAGTCCCGGCACAGAGAACGACTACAGGAGCAGTTTGGTAACAACGATACTGCTTCTGTCTGGAGGGGCCTACGGGAGATCACCAACTACAAACCCAAAGCCCCCCCCTGTGCTGATGACCACAAGCTAGCTGACGATCTGAACTTATTTTTCAGTCGCTTTGATGCTGCCCCTGACACCTCTCCCTCCCCCACCCCCCACTACTCTAACGACCCACCCATCAGCCCTGCCCCCAGCCTAACAATAGCCGCTAAAGAGATTAAACAACTCTTCCTGAGGCTGCACCCCCGCAAAGCTCCTGGCCCGGACCACGTGTCTCCGGCCACTCTGAGACACTGCGCCAGTGAGCTTACTCCTGTGTTCACGGACATTTTCAACACCTCTCTGCAGTCCTGCCATGTCCCGGCCTGCTTCAAATCCTCCATCATTGTCCCCGTCCCGAAGAAGCCCAGGATCACAGGACTCAATGACTACAGACCTGTAGCACTTACGTCTGTCGTCATGAAGTCATTTGAACGCCTGGTTCTCTCCCATCTCAAGTCCCTCACCTCCCCCCTCCTGGACCCCCTGCAGTTCGCCTACAGAGCCAACAGATCTGTAGACGACGCCATTAACCTGGCCCTCCACCACATCCTACAGCACCTGGACTCCCCGGGGACCTACGCCAGGGTCCTGTTCGTGGACTTCAGCTCTGCCTTCAACACAATCCTGCCATCCCTGCTCCAGGACAAGCTCTCCCAGCTCAACGTGCCCGATTCCACCTGCAGGTGGATCACTGACTTCCTGACGGACAGGAAGCAGCGAGTGCGTCTGGGGAAGAATGTCTCGGACTCTCGGATTATAAATACAGGAGCCCCACAGGGCTGTGTTCTTTCTCCCCTGCTCTTCTCCCTGTACACCAACCACTGCACCTCCAGCCACGACTCCGTGAAGCTGATCAAGTTCGCGGACGACACCACCCTCATTGGACTCATCTCCAACAACGATGAGTCCGCCTACAGGAGGGAGGTGGACCGGCTGGTGTCCTGGTGCAGTGGTAACAACCTGGAGCTGAACGCCCAGAAGACAGTGGAGATGATTGTGGACTTCAGGAAGAGCACTGTCCCCCCGCCCCCACCCTCCGTGATGGACTCCCCCATCACCTCTGTGGAGTCCTTCCGTTTCCTGGGCACCACCATCACCCAGGACCTCAAGTGGGAGCCGACCATCAGCTCCCTCATCAAGAAGGCCCAGCAGAGGATGTACTTCCTGCGGCAGCTCAGGAAAGCCAAGCTGCCTGCACAGATGTTGGTGCAGTTCTACACGGCCATCATCGAGTCCATCCTCACCTCCTCCATCACCGTGTGGTTCGCTGGAGCCACAGTCAGGGACAAACAGAGACTACAGCGCATTGTGCGCTCTGCAGAGGAAGTGATCGGCCGCAGCCTTCCATCGCTGCAGGACCTGTACGTCGCCCGAGCTCGAGGCCGGGCTGGTCGTATCACAGCCGACCCCTCTCACCCTGCACATGGACTATTCCAACCACTCCCCTCAGGCAGGAGGCTGCGGTACATCAGGACTAGAACCTCCCGCCACAAGAACAGTTTCTTCCCCTCTGCTGTTGGACTCTTGAACACTTCTTAACCTGTCCCCCCGCCCTTTATAAAGTCACTTTACTGCCCATCATACGTCACTTTACTTCACTGTACTGCTGTCACCTTACATTGTGTGCACCATGTGCACTTGTATATTGTAAATAGTAACTGTAACTCTATTTTAAATTTAAATTTATTCTTTAGAAGTGTTTTTTATTCTTATTTTTATTATCTCTTTTTGACTGTTGCACTGAGCCAAAGCAATTTCCAAGTCTGTGACCTCCCGTTACTTACGTTGGCAATAAAAATGATTCTGATTCTGATTCTGATTCTGATTCTGATTTATCATGAAATAAAGTGTATTTTTTCACTTAAAATGTTTCTATTTTATGTATGCCATATATTGGCATATGGTATATTGGTGACCAATATATCGTGATATAATAGTTATCGTGATATAATCGTTATCGTGAGCTTTATATCGTGTATCGTATCGTGAGGTACCCTTAGGTTCCCACCCCTATACACAACCATGGGGATTATTATTTCTTTTAAAATTTTGTTTGTAATTAATAATTTAGAAGCAAACGACTCGGAAGGTGACAGAGTCAATTGAAACAAGGAGTGGGATTAAATAAGTCTGTACTTCTTCCCACTTCCTTTCCTACATGAAGAGACAATTTATTATCATTATTAATACTACTATTATTTTATTCATGTACACTTCTTATCAATGTTCAATTTAACATTATTATTTATTTATTTTGGTGCTTTTCTTATGTATTTATACCATGGATCTATAATAATAACTGGATAGGGTATTACTAGCTTACAGCTGTCCCACCCATGGGCACAGGGGCCGCCCGTGGTACTGCAGACTAAATTCACGAGGGCTACCCAGAAAAAAGTCCCATAGAACTCAATGTAAACTAAAACAGCCAGACCTCAGCTGACAGAGAACCCAGTTTTCATAAAGATCAGATTTTGTGGGGATTTTAGTGTCCCTTGTCATCCTGAACTTTTCTTCTTCAAATCCTTCAGTTTTCTTTAAATCCACACTTTAGAGCCACAAACTCTGCTCCTTTCCTTCCCGCTCTGACTCCGCTCTGCTGCTGTTCTGATCAGCAGCTCTGATTGGTCAAAGCGCGGCCGAGCCCCTCTGTGCACGTGCATGAAAGCCACACACGTACGTTTGGCGTAACGCATCATGGGAGCTCGTCCACTGAGCAGAACCGGGAGGACCAGACGGTGCCCAAATATAGGAGAGTTCTGCTACTCTCCCGGTCTCCAGGAAGTCCCATGCGCTACTGAGCACAAGTCATTCATTTCAATAGGGCGCCATCTTGGTTCACCGGGGCTTGTTTTATACATACAATTTTCTTTGAGTACCTTGTTTTTGTTAAGTTTTGTAACTGAAACGAAAATAAAAATGAAATGAGTGGAAGGGAATACAGGAGCACCTGGAGGAAACCTACGCGGACACAGAGAGAATATGCAAACTCCCCTCTGAAAGACCCTGTTCCTTCTTGCTGAGAGGCCAACCACTGGACAGCTGGACACAGGCGCCTATAGCTCCAATCTACAGGCTCCCAGCAGTTTTATGACAACACAAACCTACATAAAGCTAAAATATGAAGAGGACAAGACCCAATCCGAGTCATTGAGCCCGAAACTGAACTTCAATAAGCCTTCGAGCGTGTGTTGTCTTTACTGCCTACTGCCAACCGCGGCAGGCTGTGGCATCATCTCATATTTCACTTCCAGTTTCTCAGACAATAAATGTCTTAATAATTGCTAATAAAAATGCAGTAGCCGAACCATTTACAGAACATAAATGTCATATACTAAGACAGAGCACATAAATCATTTTGCTAAAATATATAGAAAAAAACTCAGCTCAATTTAGCACTATACGTCCCCTTTAATTGCATTATAACCCCTAATGAAATACAGGACAGACACCAAGGACTGAGCTGGGCACATCCTTTCGTCCAGCAAAGCAATTTTCTTATCAACCGGACAATAGTGTGTGTATGAGTGTGTGTGTGTGTGTAATGATTGGACTGCAGAGGAACAAAATGTGCCTGCACCTCCGGCCCCTGCGTCAGCGCCTCCAAACCAACAGGAGGAGGTCTGAGGAGCAGGTGGGTGTTGACCATGGCAACCAGGGAACAACAGTAACATGCGAAGCGCCAAATAAGGAAACGGCTGAATGTGCAAGAAGTGGCCATCCTAAGACAATATCATGTAAAGTATGTGTATATATATATATATATATATATATATATATATATATATATATATATATATATATATATATATATATAAAAATAATTATAGAAGAACCAGAGGTAGCCATCGTTTGCGTTTCCCTTAAACGTGATATTTTATGTGAAGTGATGTGTATGGAGAAACATGTATATTGGTTAAGGGAAAGATATTGTTGAGTTGTTACTATTTTAATCTTATGTGTGATTTTTTATGTTTAAAGTTTTTAATTACTTGTGTGTGATTTTATTCTGTTTTTACTAATTATTCTGATCTTAATGCTTGTTTTAAATCATATATTGCAATGTATATGAAGATTTTAAAAAGAGGATTTTCTACTTCCGGGTGGATCCCGGACTATTGGTCCTCCTGATTGTCAATCACTTTGGTGAATCTTATTGTCAAATAAGAGCAGAAAGTTGAGAGGGAAGTTCTTTCCTAAAATTTGGGAAAATCCTCCTATATACCTTTAATCTTCATTATTTATGCTTGATGCTTTATGGGTTACTTTGGTGGGAACCTCAGGGTACCTCAGGGTACCTCACGATACGATACTATACGCGATACAAAGCTCACGATAACGATTATATCACGATATGACGATTATCAATATATTGGTCAGAAATATACTGTTATAGAAATCTTTTAGTTAAGCAATCTTAATAAACACGAAATAATTATAAGTGCAAATGGTCTGTTGGCAGCAGGACAGCTGATTGATGGAGATGTGTTTCTTTGGCAATATCTGGGTCATAGAACAATATGTTCAGGTCAAAGCAGATTATTACGAGTATCAGAGTTGTATCAGAGTAAGGAAGCGTACAGAGAAGCCTTGAGCAACACATATCAATACTGACTTTATTTTGCACAAATAAAGTCAGTAGAAATGTCTTTGTTTACTCTGGTCCATTTAATGTCCGTCATTTCTTCATTCATGGCAGACGGTTTCAGACGGCTGCCCGGTGGTATCGGTAGTGGTTCTATTATTCATTGTATATGTCACATTTATCAATGAATAAACTCACACTTTGATTGTATTACAGCTCTTGGTTGTTTACATTATTTTTGCTCTCGGCCTGTGCAGAAACTCCACAACAATACCTACCATTAATTATGGCATAAATAAATAAAAAAGTTGAAAGAATAATATGCGTAATGTAGCCATATATTTAGTATCAATACTAATAAAAAATAAAAAAGAGCTATTGCTATTGAATTTCTCCTACGGGGAATCAAAGTGTCTATCTATATATCTGTGTGTGCCTTTTTGTGGCCATTCAGAAGTAACATGCCAGTCAGGTTGCCTTGGTAACCCTGGTACTGATGTCTTCAATGACACCTAATATGCATTTGAGCAAAAATAATAAGGTGTTCAATTAGACAGAATATGACTAATGTTTATCCACATTCCCATAGAGCGCCCCCTAGAGGAATACACGCTTCCTACAGATGCTAACGAGCTCTCATTAGTTTATAGGCAGAAAACTGTTCTGAAATGTAATGTATGATTCTAATGATTAGTCATAGCAAAGGTTTTTGTGAATGAAGCCAAGTAACAAAGTAACACTCTCCTCTAACAAACATTTTCTTAGAAATTGCAAAAAGACATCACTATATGTTCGTTTGGTTGATCATTCTTGTCAATGAAAAAATAATTAAATATTGTTTGATGTAGCCCACACACATCTACTGCTGCCCGTGTTCTATTTGAAGGAGCACAAAAACACCACCAAAAATGGTAGAAGAGACTTTATGTTCCCACGCGCTCACACACACACACAGTAGCAGAGGATCCAAGGCATGTGGAAAGTCCTCGGTTACCATGGAAACAGCGACACTAAAAAAAATGGGCAGATGATCCCAGGGATTCCTCGCCGCCGCGTCGACAACACTGCAGTCCCACAGTGGCGCATCACGTCATTAGATCACTTCTGCCAGTGACATCACCACAACCTACGACCCTCAGAGACCGCCGTCTGCTCCCAACAAAGACGAGAATTTTATTTTTATTTTATCACAGGGCTTTGCTCAGACTGCAGACGGGTGGAAGTGTGGAAAATGGGATCTTTAGTCGTTTTGTCAATGTTAAAGCTGAGGATTGCGATTTTTTTATCTAGGTCAAAGACTCAATTCAATAGTTAGATATTTCTACATATTATAGTACAAACTACATACTGTACATTATTCTGTATTTGTTTTTGGAACCGACGTGCAATCTTTCTCTGCATTGTTTTTATTGTGAATCCTAGTCTGTGAAAGGCGCTATATAAATAAACTTTACTTTAGTACATTTTACAGCGAGCTAAAAAGCAAATAGCACTTTAACTACTTATATTGTATATTTTGTGTGCTCCTTGTGTTCTCTTAATACTGTCCTGGATGTGTGCTGCAGCATTGAAATGTCCCTACTGTGGGACGAATAAAGATAAGATAAACTTTATAGAACAATGGTGAAATATACATGTCACATTCATTTAATTTTATACCTAAATAGTTGTTTTTTTGCACAAAATGTATGTCTTGTGAGTATAGTTAAAGCTGGATACTAGGGTTGTCGAAAAGTCTAGTCGAGTCTGATATTAAAAAGTATGCCGAAAAATAGTTTTAGAACTACTACTAATTTGAGCCAGTGTCGATGCTAAATAAAACTGGACAAAACTAGACATTTCTTGACCGTTTGACCAATTTTAAATGTGAGAAAAACTTTTATTGGAAAACTTGTGTCACGACAAAAATAATGTTTTGTTCAGCAGTTGCCCTGTGTATGAACTGTGCTATACAGATAACCTTCCCTTGCTGATACAATTAAAAGTCCTATAATCAATTATTAATGGTTTATTTACCGATGTGTTACAATCACGTTTTTGGCGTTAACAAATTACAGTCTCAAGCATTTATAAACAATTACTGTGGTCTTGAGTATTTCTCTAGTATTGAAATACAGTTTGAAAAGTAGCGCCGGGACAACACTACTACATAGATAATTGCTGTGTCACATTTTAAGTTGACTAATCTATGCTAAAGAAAATATCAACGCGTACGAAATGATTTCAAAATTCTGAAATATAATTATTCTAACAGCATAGAAGCAACAGGAGCAGTATTCAACCAGTCCGTCAACCAGGTTTTTTTATTAATGCATGAATTCTGTCACCAGATCAAGAGTTTCAGCCGCGAGACGTGGGAGGAAGGAGCGGATTCAAGTTTTAATCAAAAGAATAGATTTGGGAAGACTGAAGACAACACAGAAGAGATATTACATTAACAGTATGTCCACTGCAAATAACGAAAAACAGTCAACTGAGCGTTTACCTGGACGTCTATAGTCAAAAATAGGGATGCATTTTTAAAGACATTTCTAATTGCGGTTTTTCGGATAACCAAGAAGTTACATATGATGAAAATGACGTTAGCTGAGACTGGACTTGCTCAAAATGCCCTAAAAAATGAACAGAAATACTGCCTTATTTAGACTTCTATTAGCCTGTTATTAACATTCACGCCGATCCTCGAATTCTAAGCCTGCTTTCAACCACAGGGTATAAGCCAGATTTATATCATATGCAACAAGATTATTTGCTGTTTGTAAAGGAAATAATGCAATCTGAATAATTGCAGTTATTGCGACAGAATTCCAGACCATGAACGCAACCCATTGCAGTTTCAGAGGCAGGTGCCAAAAGAAGAAAAACAGGGAAAGAAGCATGTTTTAAAGACATTTTGAAAAACAATAATCATTATTTGTCAATTGTTAGGACTCGCAAACCCGCCGTACATTTATCACGTCTGAAAGTCTATTCTGGCCATTATCATGTATTTGTTTTTTTTAATGTTGTCACCACTTCTACACCATTATTGGAAAATACTGAGACCATAGTTGATATGTACTGACAAACAAGACGTGGAACTTTGTGACAGTTTAGTTTCATGTGGATTGGCCCAGGAGATTACAGAGAAATTCGCTCACAACTGAACAAGAAGTTACCAGGAAAGCCCCCCCTTCCACCACAAATCTCAACAATAGGCTTTTTGGAACGCTGTGATGTCTCATGGACGCAACTTATTGAGAATGAGGAGTCACGTGCCGAGTTGGGGTGATTTGGGGGGGGCTCTGAGCCTGTCGGACATATTGGCTGCGCAACGGGGGCACGCCCCCAGAATTTCACGCGCTCCTCATATTCCAGAGCACTTTAAATTATACGCATTTACGTTTTCGGCGAGACAGAGACGGATCTACTGATACAACAAGGGAAAGGAAGACAGTAAAACAATGCTTAGAGATAAGGAGAAAGAGAAGGGACCGTACAGGAACAAGCTCATACCAAGCGCAAAACAGAGGTATTTGGAGAAGCTTGCGGACATCAAAAACATCGACCCATACGAGCTCCCTGCAGCGGAATGGCACAGAAACCTGGACCATTTACCTCCGTGCACATACATGGACATAGTAAACTACCTTGTATTTGGTGTAAGTTACTACACGATGCAGGAGTTTAAAAGCCACAAGTCTTTGGAAAGTTACGAGACTTTCTGCTGTGGCTGGGTGCAGGACTTGGTCATCTACAAGCCTCCAGCTGGTGACAACAGCGTTGTACTGGCAAAAGTAAGTTTCTTCACATATGCCTTTTAGTGTGTTGTAATTACATTGCATTTAGCAGACACTTCTTGACCAAAATGACAAACTAATTAATGAGGTAGGCTTAGGCTGTGTTTGTTGAGGTATTTAGTTGTAATTTGCGTTTGTTTGGGGCTGCAAAGTGGACAAACCAGTTCTACTTAAAAGTGGGCAAGGGTAAATGTGAATGCAAAATGTAAATGGCCTGGTTAGATGTAAGCCATTCACAGTGTGAATGCAAGGTGTATGAGATGGTAATGTAGAGTGCAGACTGTTAGTTTAAATAATAATGGGCAGTCTC